GGGGGTGCGCTGGTGACACAGATCCACTTGGATGACAGCACCAGGCTCTACGGGGGTCTCCCATGCGGCCAGGTTTCAGGGCCCAGTGGGAAAGAACCTGCCTTGCCCCTGGGCAGAGGCCCCAGCACAGCAGTTGGGCCAACGGCCAGTGCCCAGAAACTTTTGGGTGCCTGTGAGGATCTGGGGCCCCAAATCAGCCCCCCCCCCGGAACTTGCTTGGCCATGACTGCCTGGAAAACGGCTGGTGCTGCCCCCCTCCCCCTGGGGGGGGTCAGCCAGAGAGGAGGTTTCCCACGGGCTCCCACACAGACAGACTAGGGCTCCCGAGACATTTTTGGTCCCCCACATTGTAGCAGTGACCCTAGAGTATGACTGGGGGGGGTACTGCAGTGGTTGAGCCCACAGCTGGATAGATTCCAACCCGGTGGAGCTGTCTAGGTGCGAGCAATCCTGTGGCGTGCGCCCCTGCAGTCAAAGGCAGAGTTCAGCCCCACTCTGACGCTCCCGAGGAACCTGCGGCTCAGACTTCGCGGAATGTCCCTTCCTCCTGGGAGGGAGGACGGTAGGCAGTGTTCTCGTAAGAAGAGCCCTGCTGAATCAGGCCAGTGGGCCACCCAGTCCAGCATCCTGTCTCCCACACAGTGGCCAGCCAGTTCCTCCGGAGGACCGACAACAGGGCAGGGAGGCCGAGGCCTTCCCCTGGTGTTGCCTCCTGGCTCTGAGATTCAGAGGCTTAGTGCATCTGAATGTAGAGGTCCCCCCCTCTCAGTCACCACGGCTAGTAGCTCCCCTCTACTGTCACCCTGGGAGGTAGGGCAGGCAGAGAGGGATTGGCCCCATCTGTATTATTCAACCTGTGGGCAGTAAACCACCCAGTGGCTTTTCTGTGGTGTGCCAGGGTCTTTCTTCTGTGACCAGCAGTGGGGGGCATTGTGCCCCCCCCATGCACCAGGACTGCTGTCATTCTCTCTTCCCAAGTGCTCCCCTCTTCTAAACACCTAATTGTTGGTGATCCTCCAAAGGGCCCTGTCTTTTGGGATGCTCTGTTCAGACATTTGTGAGTGGGGGGTGGGGAGGCTGCTTTGACTGGCACAGCCAACAACACAACACACACACACACACGGGTTCCATCCCTTGGCAGAGTGACATTGTAAAAACTGTACATGGTGATTGGAACTTTGTAATAAAAACTGTTCTCATGACTTGTGCTGGTTGGGAGTCTGGCCTATTCGTACGTAGTGAGGTTCATGGGCTACCTTTGGGCACAGGAGAAAGCCTTCTAAGAACAAACTAATCCATGCCGTGGGATTATAGGGATCGTTTCTGGGTGTGCAAATCAGGAGATGTGAGCGGTAATTCCAGTGTCCCGTCCATATGGTGGCAGAACAGAAGAGGAGGAGGAGGAGATTGGATTTATACCTCACCCTCCATTTGGGAGTTTCAGAGCAGTTTATAATCTCTTTTCCTTCCACTCCCCACAACAGACACCCTGTGAGGTAGGTGGGGGCTGAGGGAGCTCTTTCGAGGACTGCCTTTGAGAGATCTTGTAACTGGCCCAAGGTCACACCAGGAGCTGCATGTGGAGGAGTGGGGAATCAAACCTGGTTCTCCCAGATTAGAGTCCGTGCTCCAAACCACTACACCAAACTACACTAATTCAGATCACTGGGATGTGCGTGCATGTGTGTGTATGATTTCAGAATGAAAGCTTATATTTAAAGAAATCCCTGCAAATGGAAAACCATTACAGCAAGTCCAGAGAGGGACAAGCCTTCCTCCCCCCTGCTGTGCAAAGTTTCCTTATGTGAAGAAGCATTCAGAGCTGGAATCCTCACTGTGCAGACAGATGTGGTGCAGCCCATAATACATATGCTCTTCTCCTGCCAGGGGCTAGCATCAGAGAGGTCAGGTGTGGCGGCCTAACAATTTTTTCTGCCATAAACTACACCTGTGCGGGTGCTGCCACCGTCTGGCCAAACTGAGTTTTGCACTCATCAAAATCTAATCTAGAATCTACTAAAAACCTATAGAATTAAATACAATCTGGTGAGCAAAATGCTACTTTCAAGGATTACTGATATGTTAAAAAAAAAATCACACTCAGGCTACACTTTAGAAATAACCCAACATGCTTCCGGACCGTGGCAAAGGCAAGAATTTGGGAGGAGAGGCCGCCGTGGAGTGGTCCAAGTAGGGCTTTTAAAAAACCAGCACTCTCGGTTCATAACAGAGACATGTTGAGAGCAGAAACTACAGACCGCTGGAGGACGAGCGGCTTCCCTCTCCCTTATTCTAAACAGACTGACAGGCAAATCCAGAGTTGATTTTGTACACATCTGGCTTCACAGTAAACAGCCTGGCCATTTTCAGTGGAAACAGATGGAAGGCGCGCTGGGGGAGGCTCTCTCCTCGACTCAGTGAGTACACAGGTTTTTAAAATGTCCTCTGTGGGAGGGGACCAGCCCTGGGAGACCAGCTTGGGAAGAGGAGGAAGTGCTTTCAGTCTGCAGCGGAAGGCGCTGGCAAACACTCCCCTGCCGGGGGAGGGGGCAGCAGGGGAACACTAGAGTGTCACTCAGCAGAAGGAGAAAGGCAAGGATACCCAACGACCACAAGCTTGCCTGTGTTGTACGCTGGCAAACACTCCTCTGCGTCCTCAGCTGGGGGGTCATGGCATGCCGTGGAGAGAATCACGAATCCCGCACCAGCCACTGAGTCACATATGAGGCAATTTATTTCAAGTTTACGTTGGCAAATGCTGCCCTGGGCATTTTGTGCCAGCTACGTGGGCAAGGTTGGAACAAACTTGGCCAAGCTTTTCAGGCACCCCCCCCTTCCCCTCCCCCCTGAAATCCAAACACTTGTAAATGGCAGAAGGCCAGACTGTTCCATTGCAAATGGGAGGGGCCCCTATTTCGGAATGCTCCTCTCTGGAAAACTCTTCCCCCGCAGCCAGGAGAGGGCTACGCTCGGCCTTCCTCCCTGCCGGGCTTCCTCCACGCAGGGAGCTGATGGAGAGGGCATTCCGAGAGAGGGACCCTGCAGAGCACTCTGCAGCCTGGATCGGTAGAGCCCAGACTCCCACCCAGGTCTGCCTCACTGTTTTGGCAGGTGCTCACGCTCCCCGCAAGTCTTCTGCATGCCTTTGTTCTGAAGGAGCACACTGGGCAAATACTCCTAAGCGCCCGGCTCTGAGCGACACTTGCTTCTCTTTCCAGGGCAGCAGAGTGAGTTCCTCTAGCCAGAAAAGGTGGAGTGCAGCCCCAAAGGAAGGCGAGGCTAAGCTACTTGCCTGGCAGGCGTCCCACGCGCAGCAGCTGTGGCTGACGCTGGCCCTCTGGCTCCTCATGGTTTCCTGTTCCCTCTCCTTGGCGCAGCTGTCGCTTGGCTTCAAAAAGCAGGATACTGGCGGCCATGGCAGCATTCAGACTCTCCATGCCGGGCACCACAGGGATGACCAGCCGCTGCCCATCTGTGCCGCCCGCCAGCTGTTTGGCTTCCGTGCTCACGCCGTGGGTCTCTCCCCCGATCACCAGAGCCACGGGGACCTCCATCCACGGCTCACAGTAGTGCTGGCCTTCCAACGGGCCCGGCCCGGCTGACTCCTCGCTGTCCGCGTCAGAGCCCCAATTGACCCGAGCTGGCTGTGCCCTCTGCTCATAGGGCCAGCTGGCCTTTGTCGGCAAAGCGGGCTCCTCTTGGGCGCGAAGGCTGGGCTCCATGGTGCTGTCCGCCGTGTGCACGCGTGTGTCGGGGAGGAGGTAATTGGGGACCTCCCCCCAGTCCAGGCCAGAGATGATGGGGAGGTGGAAGTGAGCACCCATCCCGGCCCGAAGCACTTTGGGCTCCCATGCGTCGACGCAGCCTGGCAAGAGAGAGGAGGGGAAAGGCAGCACCAGGGGTCAGTGGCAGAAATCAGGAGCAAGTGAGACCCACCGCTTCAAGGTGGCTTCATCATCCACAGTGGGACCGAGCATCGGAAGTGGGTGACATGCCCTGGCAAGTACTTGGAAGGGCGACCTCCAAGGAATACCAGGTCCGGGACGCAGAGGCAGGTTATCAGGCCACCTCTCTGAAAAACGTCCTAGCCCCACTAGGGGTCGCCAGAAGTCACCATGACTTCCAGGCTCGCAAGCAAACACACACACACAATACCAAACAAAGGAACAAAAAAGTGGGTGAGTGCCACAGCCTCCTATCAGAGGGGTGGGGCAGGGTTTGAAGGCTACCTGCCACACTTGGAGGAGGCTGGTCTTGGGTTGCCTTTCCAAGTCATTTGGGAAGGGGAAGGAGTGCGGCAGCAGAAGGGCCGCACCGAGTGATGTGTGCTTCTAGCCTGCAAGCAGACACCCAACGCCCTCCGTGTGGGGTAGCCTTTCTGGACCTGTGGGAAGTTCTTGCTGGTCTCTGCCCTGGAGAACGGCCTTCTGCCTCCCTCCTGGCCAGGCTCCTCCGCAAGACTGCCTTCCGGGCCTGAGCGCCCAATTCTGAAGGGCCACAGTTTTGGGTACGCATGCAGCTCTACACACATGAAGAGGGGGCCGAGTGGCCTTGAAACGTGTCACCCCGCCTCGTGCCAGCAAATGTGGACTTTGGGGGTGGAGAGGCACCTTGGCAGGCAGCCTCGGTCTTCTCGGCTCCCAGCAGCACAATCCTTGTCCTATTTCTGTGGCTTTTCTTTGGACAACGACCATACCAACTGCCCACTCTCTGGCTGAATTCTCTATAAGTCCCCCGTCCCCCCAACACACACAAGAGCCCTTTGCCTTAGAATAGAGTCGGACTCCTAAAAAGGTAGTGCCTTGGTTCTTGGGAGGGGGTGGGATTCCCCACCTCCAGGGAATAAAAGCAGGGTCACGCGAGCCCCTCCCTACCTTTGACAAGCAAGACTCTCTCGCAGCCCGCGCCGGCGGCTGATCTCAGGATGGTCCCCAGGTTGCCCGGGTCACGGACGTTGTCACAGATCAGAGACAAGGGCAGCCTGTGCTTCTGCGGAACCTCCGGGTAAGTCATCTTGGCGTGATCCGGTCTGGAAAAGATCCCTGCAGAAACAAATGGAGGCCGAGACACGATTCTAGGAGGAAAGGCTGGGGACCAAATGTGAAGGCAGCATCACACCCAATGGACTGCAGGGAAAACCGTCCCCTGAAAGGAGTGCCAAGCTTGCATGTGCTCATAAAAGCAGCCAGAGACCTTACCCAAAACGGCACAAATGCAAAATGTTTTGAGTAAAGGACAAAGATTTCCTGACCCAAATAGCCCAGGCTAGCCCGATCTCATCAAATCTCAAAAGCTAACCAGGGAGGGCCCAAGCTAGTTTTGGATGGGAGACCTCCAAGGAATACCAGGGTTGTGACACAGGCAGGAGTGGAAAACCACCTCTGAATGTCTCTTGCCTTGAAAACCCCACAGGGTTGCCATAGGTCAGCTATGACTTGACAGCAAAGAGGGGAGGGGAGGGCTGGTAAGACAGTCCACGGCAGAGGGAATGAATGAGCAGAGAGGGGGAGACATTGCGATGGGGAGGGGCTCCATTTCCCCCCAGAATCCTTAAACCCCTTCTATCACAGCGTGTCTTAAACTGAGCGAGCAGACGTTGGATGGCATGCGTAGGTTTTTCCCAACAGATATAACAATTCATCTGTGGTCCCAAGGCTGGGCATCATACTTTGATTTGTCCCTTCCCCCAACGGGCTCAGAGTCTCTCCCCCTTCATTGTGTTGCAAGAGCCCTGTGAAGTAGATTATGTTTTTTTTGGGGGGGGGGGGGTTGGCCCATTTTAAAGCCATTTGAAGAGTCTGCGCAGGTTCTAGCAATTCGAAGCAAAGAGACCCAACTGGGATTGGCCTAACGCCTCCCTTCTGCCTGTTCCTGCTTCAGACCCGAGACGGATTGAAGCTGATGGCGAAACAAGACCAGGCCGGAAGAGACAGGAAGCCAATCTGTGAGCCCCTTGAAAGAGCGTCCTCTTTGGGGACGCCCTGAGGCCTCCAAAGCGGTTTCGTCAGTGATGACTCAGGCTGGCTTGGGGAGCCGGGGGCGGGGCAGATCCGACGGGCTCCTCCCTCTCGGAAGGCAACTTACCGATCACCCCCTGGGGGGCGATGACATCCGACCAGGTCTTGATGTCTTCGAACCGGACCTTGACGAGGCTGGCGCCTTTTAGCCGGGCCGCCGGCAGCTCCCGCAAGTGATCCACGGTGCTGAAGAAGAGCATCCGGGGGACGGCGCCGGCGGCCAGTGCGTCGGTGATGAGGCGTCGGCCTTCCAGCAAGATCTTCCCGTGCCTCTCCCGGAACGCCCTGGATTTGGCAATGGTCACCACTTTGCTGTGGGAAAACGGGTCAGAGTTGCCAAGCGAACCAGCCCAGGCGCCTTTTCAGCAGCAGGAAACCTGCATGAACCAGCCCTGGTCGTTTGTAGCCAAAACCAGGACTGGAGAATTCAGTTGACCTCCCCTGGCCAGATGTGATACCTCCTAGGCCTGGGTGGCTCCAGTCTTTTGAGACTTCATCCCCGATGGAATCTAAGACCAAGGATTACAGTGTCCCTCTTCCTTGCCCTTCCCCACTGTCATGATTTAGACTGGTGTTTCCCAGCCTGTGGGTCGGGGCCCTGAAGTGGGTTGCAGGCCAGCCCTCCCTAACGGCTGCTCCTGCCCTTGGCATCCTTCTCTTTCCTTCCTCCTTGCCAACTTCTCACATTCTCATCTCCGAACCAGCCCTGGTCGTTTGTAGTCAAAACCAGGACTGGAGAATTCAGTGGACCTCCCCTGGCCAGATGTGATACCTACTAGCCCTGGGTGGCTCCAGTCTTTTGACACTTCATCCCCGATGGAATCTAAGACCAAGGATTACAGTGTCCCTCTTCCTTGCCCTTCCCCACTGTCATGATTTAGACTGGTGTTTCCCAGCCTGTGGGTCGGGGCCCTGAAGTGGGTTGCAGGCCAGCCCTCCCTAACGGCTGCTCCTGCCCTTGGCATCCTTCTCTTTCCTTCCTCCTTGCCAACTTCTCACATTCTCATCTTCCCCTCCCTGTGACAATAACAGGGAGGGGAGCCATCCTGCAACTAGTGACTTCATGGTGGCAGCTGAGAAAAGAGAGGGACAGGTTGGAGAGGAGGTGGGAGCTGTCCTGTGGGCCACGGTGAAAAGCAGAGGAGGAGAGAAAGAGGCATGAGCGTACGTGGGTCCTGTCTTGGTGCGACTCCTTCAGCAGCCCACCCTCTTGCCCATCCCCTGGGGATGTTTAGCCTGGAGAGGAGGTGACTGAAAGGTGACAGGATAGCCATCTTCAAGTACTTGAAGGGCTGTCCTGTAGAGGATGGGGTGGAGTTCACCATCATCATCATCACAACCTTTATTGGGGTAGCAGTAAAATCAAAGAGGAACTAACAATACAGTTTGCCAAATAGCCAAAGTTAAAGTAATGTAAATACAAATAACTATACTGTTGAACAACAATAACAGTAATAATAATAAAAAGAAAAAAACACACAATAATCTCAAGTGTCACTAAGGTTAAAACCAATTACGGTGAGTAAGCTTAACAAACAGAGAAGAGAAACATTATAAAACACGGTTAGACACTATATAGTCTCTCTTTCCCCCCTTTTTCATTTCTCTTTCTCCCTTTCTGTACGTTTGCAAAGAACTCTGTCACCTGCTCGGTAATTTCAGGGAATTTGTCTACCAGCAAGAACTGAATGCTCTAGAGGTTGTGGTCTTAAAGGTTTGGAGGAAAGGGCCAATCAAACATAAACGTAACTGAGTAAACAACGGGCACTATAAAAGGATATGCTGTACAGAATCAGGTTCTCTGCAGTGACACCTGCAGAGTCTTTCCTTAAGGGGGAAGTGCCCTCATATCTGCCTCTGACCACAGCCAAGGGAAATATATTGAATCTTGCCAGCATGAAAGCTCTACATCACGAGAGTATTGCTGAATTTGAAAAGTACTGAGCCATAGAATTTTGTAAATAGGAAAGGCCCAGGAAATGCGGTGAACAAGTTCCCTCTGCTCTGGCTTTTATTAGTTGAGAATCAATATCCCAGATTCTCCTTCAGATTGTACAACATATATAAGTTTCACTAGAGTTGGCCAAGGAATTTAAATCAATGCCAAATGAATGGATATTATCAAATATTAATTGTGACCATTTAGAAACAAACGGATCGGCGGGTAGGGAGGCGATGAGGCTATTTGAAAGAGGTTGGAAATAACGATGTAGGGTATGGAGTTGTATTCTGTTGCCCCAGAAGGTCGAAGCAGAAATTAAAGGAGTTTTCAGCTAAACATTCAGAAGAACTTCCTGGCAGGTTAGAGCGGTTTCTCAGTGAAACAGGCTTCCTCGGGAGGTGGTAGGCTCTCCTACTTCAAACAGAGGCTAGATGGCCCTCTGACAGCAAAGCCAATTCTGTGAACTGAGGCAGATCACGAGAGGGAGGGGCAGGAAGGGCTGCATCAGTGCTTGGTTCTTGTGGCCCTTTCTTACACGCCCAGGGAAATGCTGATCGCCACTTTGGGGTCAGGAAGCAATTTTTTGTCAGGAGGTTTTTTGTCATCTTCTGGACATGGAGCAGAGGTCACTGGGTGTGTGTGTGTGTGGGGGGGTATTTGTGAATTTCCTGCATTGTGCAGGGGGCTGGACCATGGAGGTCCCTTGCTGTCAACCTCTTCACGTCTATCTTCAAAAAAACCCTCCGAGCCTGTTTCCTTATCCTTCTGGTGCAAAACACATGCTTGAATGTCTGCTCCAAGGCCTAAAACCTCAGAAGCTAGAAGAAGATTCTGGGTTCCAGATTTGGCCCATAAGCAGCAGGGAGGGGATGCGGGCACCAGAGAAACTAAGGCCTAGCTCTGCCTGTCTGCACCGGGAAGGGGGGACCTCTCCTGCAGACCGCTGCAGCATGCTCGGACTGGAAGCGTTTCTAGGCCAGCCTTTCTCATAAAATATGGGGATCTCAGGGTCGGAAGTACAATGAAGCCTCACGCGCTAACCATTACACCAGGCAGGAACAAGGTGCTGTAAGTAGGGTTGCCAAACTCCAGACGGGGCCTGGAGATATCCCGGAAATACAATCGACGCCATCACCCCCGACTACAGATTGAACTCTCTGGCGCTGTATCGCGATGAGGTCCCTAAATCTCCAGGAATTTCCCAACACGGAGTTGGCAACGCTACTTCAGAGGCTTCAGTAACTCGTCCTGCGAGGAGGAGCAACAGGGTCACGTGGCTCAAAGAACCTCCCCCCCCCCCCGACCCACGCCGCGTGGAGAATCCAGCGCCACGCCCCTGTCGGCCAGGGCGCTTTCCCTGGCATTCTCTCAAACTACAATTCCCAGGAGGCATTGCAGGAAGGGAGGCGGGACGTCTTACCTCAGCCTTTTGTCGCCGGGCAAGGCCCGCTCATAACGCAGCTCCGCCTCTGCCGGCGGTTCCACCGCCGGTGGTTCCCACTCCCGGGCGGGGGGCTTCTTGCGGGGGCCGGCTGGCGGTTGGGCCTGAGGCACGGCCTCTTTCGCCTGCACGCGGGGAGGGAGTACGCGGACGGGGGTCCTGCGCAGCGCCCGTACTCCTCGCACGCGGCCGGCTCCCTCCGACGGCGGCCTCGGCAGCAAAAAGGAGAGCTGCACCGCTCGCCTCACGAGGAACGCCATCTTGGTCGAGGGCAAAACGGAAGAGGCCCCGACTTCAACGTTTCCGGTGTGACGCGACCTTCGTTGCTAATAGTAATGGCTCCCCGTTTTCTGGCGTCGCCAGTTTGGTTGTGGGCAAAGGAAGGAAAAGTGTCGTGAAGCTATTTTTGTCACGTGATGTGCGTTGTTAATAGCAACCTTCTGAGAACCCGCGATCTTTTCCGCCTGAGGGGGGCGTGTCGGCGGAACCGGAACTCCCTCTAAATGCGGTTTTTGCACGAGATCCGCTCCGTTTATTTCCCTGGTGGTCCGCTTGACAATCAGGCCTCCGGTTGCACGCAGGACTCGGCCTTCTCTTTGCGGAGACTTTTAAAAAAAGTTACACTGTTGGAGTGACACTGAAAGGGGCATTCAGTCTTCCACACCGAAGCCGGGAGGGTTTCCGCGCCGTGATACCGGGCGGCTTCCAATTTTGCCCAAGTGTCCGGTACACGTCGGTGTTTCTAGCCTTCCAACTCTATTCCTGCCCCCCATTCCTACAGTATGAAGTATTAGTTTAGCATAAACGTAATCATTAAATGGATTAATTTGTTAAACATGATAATCTGTAGAAAGGTGAAACTAGTGACGTGTTGAATTGTTAAATTTATGAAAGTATTAGAACAAATTTAGAGTCCAGTGGGGCACCTTTAGGACCAGCAAAGGTTTATTCAGGGTATGGGCTTTCGAGTGCAAGGCACACCGTCTCAAACCTTTGTTGGTCTTAAAGGTGCCCCACTGGACTCTTAATTCGTTCTACTGCTTCAGACCAACACGGCTGACCACCTGGATTTATCCTTATGAAAGCCTTGCTAAAATCAGTCGATTTGTAGTTTAGTACAGGTCAAATTGCTAGAATTTGTATTTGTAATCTGGGAGATACATGTACCTTGTAACAAATTGTATGTATGGCGAAAGGTTTTCTAAAATAAAATAAAAACATATTCCTGTGCGGGAAAGAAAATTCTCATTTACACCCAGAGCGGGAGTCCGATGGGGGTGCCTGTAGCGCTTCTCTCCCTGGCGACACTGGAGGGTCCTCCGCCGCCGTCTCTTTAAAACCTCCAGCCCGGCCGCGGCGTCGCTCGGCCTTGTCCTCACCATCGAATCCCCCGGGTAGAGCGTCTACCCGACAGCCGGCTTTTCTGGGTACCGTCGCGTGGGTGACGTCATTGCCCCGCGCCGCAGGGCGGGCGAAGCAAAAAGACCTGCGCTGTTGTGCACGCGAGCCTGCGGGAGGGGTGTGTGTGTGAGAGTCCGTAGTCTTAAAATGGGGGCCCGGCGAGCGCTGCATTTCGTGTTCAAAGTCGCCGACCGAGCCCAGACCGTCCGCTTCTACCGGGAGGTTTTGGGCATGCGCGTAAGTGAGGGGAGAAGCCGGAGGAGTTGGGAAGTCAACTAGTGGAAGGAAGTAGAGGATGGATGACGGTCCTGGCTACGGAGGCCGAGGATTATCCAACCGTGCCTTACTACGGCTGCCCGCTTGCAGGGGGACCTGATCTGTGATACCCCAATGGATGGTATCCGTCCATCCATCCGAAATGCTGGCCCTCAGCGGGACCGACCTCACAGGACTGTTGTAGGGCATTATAGAGGAGAGGCGAATGAAAAAGCCGCTGTGGGTATTCTTTAGGGGTAACGGCGTGCTTAAATGAAGTAAATCAGAATTAGGTTGAAAACGATCCCAGGGGAGGGAAGAGCAGGATTCATCGCAGCTGCTCATGTTTGCAGTGCAATTCTGTGCCTGTTTTCTCATGAGTAAGCCTTTCAGTGGGCCTTTCTGCTGGGGAAGCACGAGTGGAACTGCAATCTTTAGACTTTGTGGGTTGGGAGGGAAGATAGGGTTGTCAGCTCTGGTTTGGGAAATACCTGGAGATTTGGGTGGGTGGAGCTTGAGGAATGTGGGGTTTGGGGCATAAGGCCATAGAGTACAACTTTGAAAGCAGCCATTTTCTCCAGGTAAACTAATCTCTATTGCTTGGAGATTAGTTGTAACCGTGGGAGATCTCCAGCCACCACCTGGAGGTTGGCACCCCTAAGGGAAGTGCTTGAGCTTGATAGCAGTCACAGTAATGATAATACTTAACGTTTATGTAGCAATTTAAAACATTCAAAATGCTTCATGTATATTATCTTTTGTTGTGATCCTTACAACTACCCTGCAAGGTAGGGCACTTTTTAAAAATGTTGTCAAAGGCTTTCACAACTGGAGTTCTTTAGTTGTAGATTTTCCAGGCTGTATGGCTGTGGTCTTGGCATTGGCTCCTGACGAAACGTCCAGTCCTACAATGCCAAGATCACGGCCATACAGCCCAGAAAATCTACAACTTTTTTTACTTTTGAAAAATATTTATTTCCTGAAATTGATACAAATAATTCAATTAAATCATTCAAATAGCACACATCTCTAATTTTAAAAAATGGAACCTAAGTAAGGTTAAACATTAGAAAGCCTTACAAGCAAACAATGAAAAACTAACCAAGGCAATGAAACAGTCAATTTAGGCAAAGAGATTCTAAGCAAACCAGACTATCTAAAGCAGAGGTATCAAACTCATTTGTTCCAAGGGCCAGATCTGACATAAATGTCACTTTGTCGGGCCATGTGTGCCATAAAACGTAATGCCAGATAGTGGAGACAGAAACTGTATAAAGGACAGCAGATGGTAAACTCCAAGTTGGTGTGTCCTCACTGCAAGGCCGTATGGGGTGAGACGGGGGTGCAGAGGAAAAACTACAAAGGCAGACTGGAGAGGCAGCAGTGCAGCGCTGGCCAGATGCTCCCACGATGCTTGACTGCTGCAGACGAGGTTGTTCTGCCATGCTGAAACCACAATGGAGTGGCTCCCCCCACTCCCCCCAGCACTGCCTCCCTAGCACCAGTTGCTCGGGCTGCATAACAGCCCTGGTAGGGCTGATTCCGGCCCACGGGCCTTGTGTTTGACACCCCCTGTCTAAAATTTAACGTCACACTAAACAAAGGCAGAAAAGAAGAGGAGATTGGATTTATACCCCGCCCTTCACTCAGAGTCTCAGAGCGGCTTACAAACTCCTTTCCCTTCCCCTCTCCACAACAGACACCCTGTGAGGTAGGTGGGGCTGAGAGAGCTTTTCCCAGAGCTGTCCTTGAGAGAACAGTTCTAACCAGAACTATGGCTTGCCCAAGGTCATCCAGCCAGGTGCAAGTGGAGGAGTGGGGAGTCAACCCAGTTCTCCCAGATTAGAGTCCATGCACTTAACCACTACACCAAACACTGAACTATAATAAAAAAGAGGGTGATACACCCAATAGACAATGCACTGCAATACCATCTCCTATAGGTGCAATCACTCAGGCTAATCCACATATGTTGTAAAGTTTTCCATTATGGATTAACATAAATTTATAAAATGTAAAGCCATAGGGAAGGAAAAACAAAATTTAAAAAATTACTATATTAAGTGTGAACTAGTCAAAATCTATATTCAACTACATCTGTTTGACAGTGTGCTTTGGGCTAAGGACAAGGTGGGGCACTGTTGTTATCCATTTATTGCCAATGGAGGTTAAAAATGAGAGCGGTTTGTTTAAGGCTGCGTAGTGAGTTTGTGGCAGAGGTCAGACTTAACCAGGGGCTTGACATACAGGGTGTGTTCAGACGGGGGCTTTACATCGGTATAGGTGCCGGTTGCAATCGCTGTACTCACCGGCGTGCAGACGGCAAACATCTGCCTCCTGTCCCTAACCGATGTAAAGCCCTTTACACCGTTGCACTCTGCCACTAGGTCCCAAGTGGTGGTATACTGAGTGCAACGGTTGCTTCCAATGTACCCCGTTGTCTGATCGCTCTCCATCGGTGCCTAGCCATTTCCGTCGGAAGCCCGAGGCTTCCGGTTTTCCCCCGCCATTTTTTTTTTTTTTTAAACAGAGCGATATGCGCTCGGGTGAAGCTTTGCCCTGAGCGGTTGTTAAAAAAAAATAAAAATCCCTTGCTTTACCTATCCGGAGGAGTCCGGGACTTAAGGGAGGCCAGTTTGGGCTTTAAACTTTAAAGGTAAGTCCTTACCTTTAAAGTTTAAATGTAATGGGGAGGGGGGGGGTGAGCATGCGCAAAGATCGCCATTCTGTGAATGCGCATGCTCAAACTGTGTTTAAAAAAAAACCCGCCGACGCCCGCAGCGTGTGACCGGGCGTACACCGATGGGAACCGCAAAATGGAGGTAAGTGTGATCGCGTTTATGCCGGCAGAAAGCCCCCGTCTGAACGCACCCACAGATTGCTTGTTTGCTGCTCTGTGCCAGAGTATATGGTGCCGCTGCACTGAATCTTGATTGGCTACCTCTGCTTGCACCTCTAGGTCCTAAGACATGAAGAATTTGAAGAAGGTTGCAAAGCTACCTGTAATGGGTGCGTTGACTTTCTCATTGGTTCTAAGCAATGCTTATGTTGTTAGAGGAAAATATCACCGCTCTTTAATTGTTGGAGCCAGTAATATTACTTTGTTGACTCATTCATTTCACTAAGTACTTACAATTACCACTGTTCTTCCAGTGAATGCAAGCTGGTTTTCAGGGAATCAGAGTGCCCTGAGGCAAGGTGGGACTAATGAGTGTGTTTACAATGTTAAGAAGTTTGGGTTACACGTGCTAAGCTAAAAATTGCTTGAGAGCCTTCTGCGGTTCGCTGTTGCTGATCCATCAACATTCTGGTGCTTCAGATATTTGTGTATCAGCAGTAAAATTGCAGCTTAAATGAAGGAAGGGAAAGGGGAGTTTAGATGAAAAGAATTAAGAGAGGAGAGCATTTGTGCTTTCAATAAGGTCAGACTGAAACACAGTGCTGGATACTGGAGTGCAGTCCTGTACTAATGCAGTCTAACTGATGGCTTTTAACAGGCTTAGTCTGGCGTGATCTGCATAGGATTGCATGGTTAGAAT